TACATTTATGAAAGGAAAAAAACACTATGACTCAGTATTCTATTACTAGAAACCCTGTGACTTGCTGCAGTTCACCTTGGTGGGCACTAGCGTGTCAAGACTCCACTAGCACTAATATTGATAGAAAAGAAGAAATAAGGAAAATAGCTGTTTTCAATGTTTTTTCTGTTATGATGTTCGTTAATTCTATATATAATTCCCCGAACCTGTCCTTTAAGTGTTTCTTAAGATCGATTTGGGTCTGTTCTGGTTTCAGATCAGCCTCGAAGCTTCTGATGGCCTGTGTTGTTGGTGAGTTTGGGCTTCGTAGTATAGTTCATTGCTTGTCTGTTTTACTGTTGGCTCGCTTCTTCTGGTGTTTAAGTTTTTTGTTTATGTTTTGACTTTTTTCCCATTCTATTGTAATATCACATCTAAGTTTCCAGGCTTCTCGTTTGGCTTGCTAGAACTTGTGTGTTGCTTCTCGAATTGCTTCCAGTGCTCTGGATCTGTCCTTTGTTATGGTCTCTACTATTTTTGTTATGCCATGTGTTATGACTCCCCTAACTATATCTTTCTATTCGATTTGATGCCCTGTATTACTGTTTTCCTTGTGTTCCTATATTATTAGTATTCTTTTCCATTTGTTTTGGATTGGTTCTGTTTGTTTACTTTCCGCTCTTGCTGCACATTTCTCTATCAAGACCTGTATGAGCTCTTCTTGAAGTTTTGTTGATGTTGTGCCACATTGAAAGATATGGTTATTTGTTTCTCTGTGCTATTTGCAAATTTTGCATTTATTATTGGGATAAATATCAGAATGTCTTTCATTTAGTTTGTCTATGGTAAGTAGTTCTCCCATCCATATTTTAATTCTGAATGATCAGTCCATATGGTCTCTCGTATTAGTTGATGATGCTGTGATCGCTGTTGGCATTAGGAGTTCCAAAGTCATAGGCCAGTGGATTTCTCAAGATTTCTTCTGGTTCAGCCAATCCTGGTTTCTTTGTAGTGTTTGCCATTTACTTGCCCATTTGTTTTTAAGAATTTGTCTCGTTAGGGGCTTGATTTCAATATCATATTGTTTTTGATTCCATCTGATAAGTATGTTTGTTGATGTAGAAGTTTTTGTATTTATTGTTATAGTGTGTTTGGATTTGTCTGTTAGGTTTATCGATGCCAGCTGGTTTGCCTTTTCATTGCCTAGGATGCCGGAGTGACTCTTGACTTTTGCCCAGATGATTATAAGTTTTTTCATTTTTGTCAGGTCTCTAATGGCGCAACAGAGAATTTGATTTGGCTGATGTGTGTTCCTTCGGTATCTCCTCTGTGTTGGAGGCTCTCCTAGTATGTTGATTGCTGCCTGACTATCTGGGATGATTGTGATTGTTTTGTTGATGCTAATGGTGCTTATTGCGATTATGATAGTCATTAGTTCTGCTCTTATGGATGAAGAAGTATCATATGTTTCTGCTTGAAATTCTGCTACTTGTTTTCCTTTTTTGGTGGTTACGATCCAGCCTAGTCCCATTTTGCTTCTTTCTGGATGTCTAGTAAAAGAGCCGTCCATATATATCTGCAAATTATTTAGTTCACTCAGGTCTTTTGCTATGGTTGAAAGCTGATTTATAAGTTTTGAATGTCCCATTAATCTACTGTGTATTAGATGCATTGTTTCTGAGAGTGGATTCATGTGGAGCTGTGGTATTGTTCTTGGAGTTATTGATTTTGCAATTCTCTTTCGCAGTGCTTTCTTAATTCCCTTGGAAGTAGAGTATAGCCTGTTTGTCATGTATTGCTGTTCCGTTGGCTGATCTTTCTGGGGATTGGCTGATTTTGAACTTTTATCTGCTGTTATATTTACTGTTCTTGCTCTTATTAGCTCTGCAATACATTGCCCTTGTTCCTTGTATTGACTTCTCAGTTGTTAATTGTTTTTTTTACATCTTTTGCATTTGAAAAGAGGGGATGTTGATAGTAATGATATCATGTGGTTGACTATTATTTTGTCTGAATCTGTCATTCTTCTTTTCTTATAGATTGCAATTTCGCCATCTGATTCTGTGGCTATCCACTTAATTGTTGTCTGTGTTTGTGGTGGGAGAACTGAAGTGTTGCTGCGGAAGCTGTTGTTGGTGTCACTAATAGGAGATTCCGCTATGTTTGTATAAGAGTTCTGGTTTGGGTCTATACATATGATTTGTCGTAAGTCTTGGAACCATCCAGGAGTCCTGCCTTGTCTTCCTTTCCTTGTCCTGAGTTGTTGCCATGTGAGGGGTTTTGATAGATCATCGTTCATAAGCTGTTCCTTGAATAGGATTTCTCTTTTTCTCAGAGCTTGTCTGTTTTGATCATACCATTTGCTTGAGGTGATATCTTTGATTGCTGTCTTTTCTCCACTAGGTGCAGTGCAGATTGTTGTATGGTTTGTCATCTCAAAAGTATTACCCTAAACTTTGAGCATGTTGAGAATATCATTTGTGAGTTTCTGTTGTTTTTTGATCCAGAATGGGTATTTATCCTCTAGAATTGATACATTTGATCCGTATTGATTCTGAAGTTGTTGCAGTCTGATTCATGCTGTTTTATTACATGTGTCTGATCTGTTGATTCTTTTCTTCCAGTTGTTTCCATACAACATGACCTGTCTATCCCACATGTTGAAAAGTTTGTATCCAAAGTCTGTGTGAATAAGGGCATTAGGGGCTGTCCTGGGCAAATTGATTTTGTGTTTAAAGGTTTTAACTATCTTGCTGTTGAGTCAGTTGCATTCTTATTCAGATAGGGCCAGGTTATTGAGGAGGTACTCAACTGCTGGATATAATACGTGATTGATTATGTATTGTGCCTGTTTATCTGTAATTCTTTTCCATCTAATGAAGTTCATTGTGTTGTCAATTTTTTCCCAGATAAGTTGTTTTTGATGTTATTTTTTCCTGTCCTCTGATATCCATACTCCCAGGATGCGAGTCATTTCATTTTTATTCAAGGGTATAACCTTGGTTCCTGTCAGTGTAACTCCTTGTACCCGGTCATCTTTGTTTGTTAATATAAATGAGTGATAACTTGTCTCCATTCGCCTGTATGTCATTGATGTAGAGGAATTCTGATGCTGTATCCAGGATACCTTGTATGTTAGATCTGTTTGGGGCATATCAGGTGATGTCATCCATATATGCTGTTGCTGTAATCATTTGTAATCTAGAGTGTTGAGATATTTTATTGTTATCATTTCTAGCAAGGTTGGAGCTCCATGTCACTTTCATTACATAATCCATCTTTTTGTCCTCTATTTCTTGTATCAGGGGATCATAGAAGATTCTCCACAAGAGTGAAGATATGGTATCTTCTTGATCGATCCTATCTTGAACTTTTTATTCTTCTGTATACCTATATGCTGTGATAACTCTATTGTGTCTATCTGTTAGGATATCTTCTAGGATGTTGATAATTTTTCCTGGAAGTTTGATTCGTTTCAGTGCCAGTATCATCATATCTTTGTTTATTGAGTCGTATGCCTTGCTTATATCTTGGCTGAAGATCCATGCCTCTTTCCCTGTTTCTTTCGCTTCTTTCAGGAGATTATTCATTATGTATATTGGTTGTTGCGTGCTACTACCTGGAAGTCCTGCGCAGTTACTTCTTGATGTTATATGATGTTGATTCAGTGTTGCTGCTATTCTGTTGTTAAGTATGGACATGAAAACTTTCCTTGTTATTTCTAGGAGGGTGATTGGTCACATGATGTTAATGTCTCCTATCCAGTCTTTAGGTTTAGGAATTGGGTAAATTTCTCCTTATTTTCACTCTTCTGAAACTTTTCCTATTTCTATGATCTGATTGTAGATTGTTTTTAAAAGCTGGAGATCCTTAGACCCTAGATTCCTTAATACGATGTATGGTATTTTTGTGGATCCTGGTGTGCTGTGTTTGTTTTTTGCTTGGATTGCTTCTTTGATCTCTTGGGTATCGATCCTGGCTGTGCACTAGTCATACCATTCTGGGTTGATGTATTCAATTGGTGCATATTTTTGAGCCAATTTGGATAGGTGTGCAGGTCTAATGTCTTCCTGTGTCGAGTCCATTCCTTGAAGTGGTGCCTGACTTTGATTTTGATTTCATTTGGGTCTGTGATGATCGTAGTCTCCTCTGTTCCCGTGTGTTTGATCAGTCTGCTTGTGTCTATCTTCTTGTGGGGCCTATCTAGTATACTATCTATCATTCTTTTTGGTTGATCTTGTAGGAGTTTGAAACGCTTTTCTATTCTATCATTGATTATCTTTATTTTCTCCCTTTTTATTGCTTGTTGAGCTATTTTATTTTCTATCTTCCAGAGTTTCTGTAATTCCTTTAGCCAGAGGTACTGTTGAATGTGAGTATTGGAGATATTGTGTCTATTAATTGGTGGGTTATCTATTCTCTCTCCGTTTTTGTTTATAGCTCCTATCATCCTTACTACTTTTCCTCAATTACAACATCTGGTGTGTTGTTGTTCAAGTATCTTTTGTATGTTCTGTAGGTCTTCCCTATTAAGAGTGTAAGCCTCATCCTGTCTCTGTATTTGGATATGTGGATTGTCTTGATATTCCTGCTCTTTTTTCGTTTCGTGAGATGTCTTTTGCTAGCTTCCAGCAGTGTATTTTTGAAATGGTTCCAAAGCTCTTTTAATGTGTGAGGTTTGTGTGAGGAGGCAGTGTGACCTTTTCCTCCACTGCCTTCTTGAAGTCATTCCATTGTTTGTTGGATGAGTTCGCATAATAAATTTGCTTTGTGTTGTTATTTTTCCTGTTTGCAACTTTGTTCCAGTGTTGGTGCGGAATGCTGGTAGTGATTGTAACCATCTTGTGTTCAGTAGCTATAGTTGTTATTAGTGATATGTATGATATGCTGGTAATATGTTGGGCCATTGGTCTTGATACCCATATATAGTCCAGTCTGCTGCCATATGCACTTTTGCTCCTGATATATGTGTAGCTCTTTATATGTGGGTTTAAGTATCTATATGTGTTAGTGAAATCAAGAGTGATGAGTGTATTGATTATCTCTCTATTGTGTGTGCCCGGCTTCTTTTTGTTTGTGGTTCTGTCTAGCTCACTATCAGCTATTTCATTGAAGTCCCCTATTACCATTATGAAAAAATTTTTGATTGTTGCTTCCTGAATGATTTGCTTCAGCCATTGAACCAAGTTGTGTTTATTTCTTCTTTGTGTAGAATTGGAGGGGCTGTAGATCATGATTATTCTGTACTTAATTTTTGCCTTGAAAGCCATGTCTATGTAGATGCCTTTGTCTTGCCAAGTTTCAGATTTATATATGTGTGTTGCCCATTCTTTTTTTACAATTATTCCAACTCCTGTACCTGTTTGGTATTCTGTGTCCCTTGTTGTCCATATTGCATATTTATTTTCTTCCTTTGTCCATCTGTGGTTGTGTGGTAGCCATGTTTCTGTGATCCCTATTATATCGTATTGTTCTTCTTTTGCGAAGGTTGTGAGTGCAATTTGTTTGTTCTCTTCATTGATACCTCTGATATTTATTGTTCCGATTTTTTATTTGTTGCTTGTGTTCTTATCTGTATTTAAGGTATTTGCTATATTTACTGATTCAGTTTGATATTGAAGTATTGAGCTGAATGTGTTGTCATTGATCCTTCTATCCCTAATGGATTTTTCCCTGATATTTGTTCTATCATTTTATTGTAATAAGTTGGATCCTAATGAGCTTACTGTTGTGAAAGTTTTAATAGGTTAATTGCTTCCACCATCATGGAGCTCATTTTGTTGAGTTGTTTCTGATATGCTTCTTGTGATGCTCTAATGTCCTGAATATTGATGTTTGGGGTCATTCCTGTTTTCGTCTTGTCTACTGGATTCTCTTCCAGTTCTTCCATTAGTTCGTTGACACTTTCTAGGTATCTGTTGGTACACTCCTGTTCTAGGGCATCTACCCTCTCATCTAGATCTCTAAGTAAGACTTTTATTTCCTGGATTTCGTTTTGCAAGGAGAGGAGTAGTTCGTAGAGGTCTTCTTCTGCAGGGTAGTTGTTGGTGTTACCTCCATATTTGACGATGTTTGCATAGCTTCTGGAATTGTTGAAGTGGTTGGGGCTTCTGAGTCTACGGTTTGATGTGATCGTGAATCTGGTTCTTTGTGAAGTTCTTGGGTTGTTGGATCGGTTGGTATATTGTCTGAGTGGTGTGACTTCTGGTTTCTCTGGGCATAGGAACCAGTTGTGTTCTGGTGAGCTGCATGTGGGACATAGTCTAGTTTCACGATTGACACATTGTGTCTGTACTTTTCTGATCAATGTTGCAGTTGTTTTTGCCATTTGAAGGTCTTCTTGTGTCTCGAAAGTGAAGATGCGAGTCTTTTGGCCTGATTGTTGTTATCCCGGGAGATGTAGCATGATTTTGCTTTCATGCTGGTGATGATTACTGCTAGATCTGAGGCTGCTGTGTTGGAGGGTAGTTGAATAAGTGTTGTATTAAAACGTTCTCTTTCTTGTTTGATTTCGTGTGTTCTGTAGAAGGGGAATATTCTGTATGAGTGATATCCATGTCCAATTGACCACTCCCGACTGATTTTCACATAGTCTGACATGTTTGTAAAGGTGATGTTAGCTGATTAGAAGGGGCCTGCTCTTTGCATGGTTATGTAATCGATACTGATTTGATTGTCAAAAAACTCTGCTAGATTTGTTTTGGTGAAGTGTTGTGGGATGTCCCATACTCTGATGGTTCGGGACTTGCTCTCGTGTGATCCTGGGTGGGCGATCCTTTTAAGTTTGGCAAGTTCATTGTCTGTGATGTTAATCCCGCATGCCTTGTGTAAATCTTCCTGATTGTCAAAAATGGCAGCGATCTTTGGGTAACTGGTTGGATATTCGTATCGCACATGTTTCAGGGAATGTAGTTCCCCCATTTTTTGCTTGATAAAATTTATTTTCTCATTCTGTAATTGCCCTGGAACTAGGTCTGGGTCGACGAGGGCTTTTCCTGGTCTCTTGGTCTGTAAATATTCCGTGTCTTTGAGTGGTTCTTGTGTATTCCCTTGAAACTCTTCTTCATAACTGAAAGTTGCTTGTTCGATAATATTTAAGGATAAGTTTCGGACTGGTTGTATGGGAGAGTCAGGATTGCTGATAGTGGTAATGGTGATGGGGGTCAATGGTCTTGTTTGCTCCCTAGCCCTTGTGGGTTCTGTTGTTTGAGTTGTTACCTCCATTTCCATTATGCAGTCTGATACGAAGGACTCCACCTTCTCTTTTCCTTTCTCTACCGCTCTTTTTGGTGTCTTCTTCTGGGTCGCTGTTCTTGTGCCAAGTGGGGTGTGTCTAAGCTGAGCAGTGGGGTTGTTGCCTTGGGTTTCATAATTCTTCCATTGTTTCTTGTCATTCTGTTTTCATTGTAGTCCAGTATTGTTAGTTGCTTGGTACTTCTGGTTTCTCATGAGGAGGCTATATTTTCCTTACTATAGTTACTTGGTAGCAGGGACGAGTTGATTTTTGTATAATTGCCTTATAAGAAAGTTTTTAGCAGTTTGGAATTTTTCAGGAAAGAGTTTTTTTTTTTTTACTCCAAAAATTATAATTGAATTTAAAAACAAATACTTAAAAATTTTAATATAATTATTAAAGCTTTCAAATGAAAAAACTTTTTTTCAAAAATTTTAAAAACTGAAAAAATTTTCTTTTTTGGCAAAAACATAAAAATGAACTCATTCATGGCTATCAAGTAGCAACTGCTTCCAAGATGGCTTCCACAAGGTAGCTAAGAAGTCTTACAAGATAAACAACTCTGGAATACAATATTGACAGGATCAGCAGGAATAATGAAAAAAACCCTGAAACTCAAAGCAACAACTCCCTTCTTGCTAATTAGAAGAAACTATCAGACAAGAGGAAAGAGAAAGAGGATGAAAACCAAGCAAACAGGATGGACATTGAACCAAAAATGCAAGAAATAGAGAAGGAGAATGAGACCAGCCTCAGAATCAACAGAGCATTCTTACTGGACACAGTAAATACCATCGAGAATGAAGCAATCCTAGATATTTCAGCCAAAGAGGGTATTTCAAGTATTACTGAACAGGCTGGGTACAGCTACGAGAACCAGGAAAATAAACAGGAATTCTTAACCACTTTTCAGAAGCACTAAGGACACTAAGAGACTTTTAGGCTTGAAAAAGCCTTTATCAACTCAGACCTGATTCCTGAACAGACAGTCAGGAAGAAAAGGACTTTATCAGACAAAAAATGGTACACTTCTTCTCCCTGAAATATGTGAGGTATGAATACCCAATTGAAAAATTGCAAATCATCACCATTTTCAACAATCAAGAAGAAGTATACATGACATGTGAAACCAAACTTACAGAGAATGAGAATGCCAAATTCAGGAAGATCGCTCCACTGGGATCTCAAGAGAGCAACTCCCACATAATCAGAGTATGAGACATTTCCCTACACTTCATCAAAATGGACCTAGCAGAATTTTTCAATGAACAAATAAACATTGAATACATAATCTTACAAAAAGCTGGACCATTCCAGATGGCAAATATCATCTTCTCCAACACTTTTGACTATATAGAGATCAGCCAGAAATGGTCACTCATGCAGGAATACTACTCATGCAGGATATTCCCATTCTACAAAATTCATGAGATCAAAGAAAAAAGAGAATGTTACAGTGCTACTTTCACTCAACTTCCACCTGATACAACAGTATCAGACCTGACAGTCATCACTATAAATACAGAAGCAAAATCAGTATACATACTCTGGGATAACAATAACCAGGCTAAAAGATTCACTGTCTTCATCTTCCAGTCCAGGAAAGATCTTCAGGCAGCCAAGTCATCAGCCCCTTTAATAAGAGAAACACAGACATGATGGGTTCAATAAAAGACCCCCTTATACTATATCTATAGTTCACTGGAACATAACATATACTTATATCCTGACAAACTAGAAACACTTCATCAAGACAGTATATGAACAGGTCAAACAACCCCAGGATCTTCATGCATCAAGGGAGCAGGTTAGCTTCTAACCAAGGCACACAAAGGCATTCTAGCACCAGGAACAATCCAAGGAGCTATGCAAATATCCTAAAATATAGCCAAAAACTAGAGGATAGGCAACACCATAATGATATCTTGAACATATTGCTATTATTCCAAAAGGATATAAAAGAAATAAAGAATAACCTAAAAGATCTGACTGAAAGGATGGATACTCTAGAACAAGAATGTGCTATCAAGTATTTCAAAAGCATTAATGAACTCATGGAAGATCTGGAAGAAAACACAAACACTAACAGCAAGAAGCAATCAAGAGCCCCTAGTGATAGTATTCAAGACATAAAGAGATTCCAAGAAGTATACCAACAACAACTGAACAGAATGAGTGTAACAATGAAAGAGGTAATTAATCTTGTCAAGATTTCACAACAGATAGTTCCAGACAGATGCAACTCAACATACTAACATTATAGCAAGCAATATAATAGAACCTCCAAGAAGGGAAAACAGTAAACAAAAAATCCCAATACTGCCTGAACAAATATCAATTACAAAATTAATTCATAGTGAACACTTCACTACAGGACAAAACCAAGGACACACAGGAAAAAAAGACAATACCAACAATGCCTCATAGACAATTATGACATATAACATAAGAGAAATGATGAAAAACAACAAATGAAACTTCTGGCTGGAATACTGTGTAGAGAAAAATTGGAAGATTATTATCACAACAGAAACTAATGGAAATGAACAATAGATTAAACATTGAAAACATCACAAGTATTGACTGACCACATCAATTGATGAATATCAAAAGATAGAATATGGAGTAAGCATAACTATATACAAGGATATTGTAATCAAAACATTCAGAAAACAAGAGATCAAGGGAAGGGCCATAGCAATAAATATGGCATTCCCAAGGAGACACAAACTCAGGATCATAGGAGTAAACCTTTCACCAAAGAGCAGCAGCATCAGAAACAAGATAGAGATAGAGCACACAATACAGGAATGAATAGCACAAGCAGAGAAAATGAATATATATGTTATAATAGATGGAGACTTCAATGTTACTCCCAATCCAGCCTCAGACAAATGGAGTTCCATAGACAACTAGATAGCTGCTAACTAGAGTCAAAGCTGCCAGAATGATTAATAACCAAGAACTTTAAAGATACAGTACATTTAGGCTGCACAATCCAACACAGAAGAGTTTTACATGGAGCAATAGCAGAGAAACACATAGTAGAATCGATCAGATATGGTACCTACTACAAGAAACCTGGCAAACTAGAAACTCACACATAATAGATCATCCAGATACCTTACACAAGAGTGACCAAAAATTATGATCACCAGAATGGACATGTGATAACTCAATATTAATAGTCACTAGAAGATCTATAGAAGCAACCCATGATATAACTGGTGTAAAACAAACACCATATAATGAAAAAAATTTAAAAGTATTATAGAAAACAATATAGAAAGAAGGAACAAATTAGAACAAGGAAACATAGAAGACAAATGGAATAAATTCAAACAATCTCTCCTCATAGTAGCAAATCACCACATCCCCAAGATAAAATCAAAGAAGAAAAATAAGAGAAC